CCTATAGATTCATAGAAAAAATATCAAATTTTTACATAGCTTTGTAGAAACGATGTGAAGAAATAAAATTAAAAAACAGGTGAAATGATTGTCTCATCTTGTCAAATAACCTTCAGACAGTATTTAATCTTCATTATTGCCAAGAAAAAAACTGGTGTGTGGAGAAAAAACCAAATTCCCAATTCTTCTTCCTTTTACCCACACCATTTATGCTGCCCGAAATGTCAAAATGAATTCACCATCCACTACCAACCTACTCTAGATTGCCTTCATATCGTTGTGGTACTGTCATTAAGTAAAACAAGCCCCAGTCTTGCCAGCTATACTAGGAGCGTCCAGAACGCACAAAGACATTTCTTACATTGATTGACCATTCTAGAACACGTGATTTTGACATGGTTTTTTGAGGGGCACACAAACTATCTATTAGGTTACCATTGATGAGCATAGCATCCCTGCCACAACCACAATATAATAACAGTTTCACCAAACAAAATTATGAATTTTCTTTCTGGTTCCAACTCGGATTCAAAGGAAAACGATCCCACTAATAATTCTGGTTTCATGACAAATCTTGACAAAATACAATGTTTGCCCCTCAGCAACCTGTCAAATGACGTAATTTTGGAATGATTAATAACATGCCTATATGCGCCCCGCATAACGACAGGGTTGCCACCACTTTGTTAATCTAAAATTTCCTGAGTTTTACAGGTTTTCCCTGACAAATACAAATTGAATCAGATTTATGGAAAGCTTTGATATAATTCAAGTATATTTTAGTTTTTTCTTGATCTCTACCAACACTTGATTCAGTTTTTTTCTGACTTTCTGACTTATTACAAAGTGGTATATACAATAATTTTGGTGGTAACCCCGAACGATTCGCGTATCAAGGCCATTGAATTGAAGTAAATACTGGAATGACTCCTGCATTATGACAAAGGCCAATGTGATAGTGAAATTGTTTTTGATTTCAGATATAAGGCTGCGCTTATTTGCTCCAAAATTTAAGGGCGTTTTATCAAAAATCTGAACAGACCCTCTGAAGTTGTAGGTTGTTATACCTTTCTCGATTGAAAATAAAAAAATAAAAAAAAAACTCAATACAACTTTTCTTGAAGAAAACGCATTCATCTCATTAATTGTCGGCAGTACCGTTGGAGCAAATCAACTGTTCATTTGATCACACTGGAAATCCTATTATTGAATGAATACCGAGTACCTACCGTTGAGAAAAATTTCAACAAAAAAGTGAATTAATCACCCATGACTTTTCATTTGAGGGTAGTTCTTATGGAATAAAAATGAAGATAGTTTGGGGATTCTTCATCAGCCGAATATGCCAATGCGGGAAAACATTTTTTTCATAGAGAGATTTGATCATAACTGGGAATTCTACAAGTTGCACTCAATGCAACGCTCGAAACAATTTAAACTACGCAACACTAATTTCGTCACACCCCAACATTTTGTCCCTGTTAAAATATGAACAACTTTTTTCTGCTTTGAACAATTTGAACTCGGATTACACTGTTCGCTAGCCCAGTCCTTCAGCTATAGTCTCGTTGTTGAAGATATATTTGTTATTGATTGTCCAATTTAGAAATAACTCCTTGACTATTATTGTAGTTATTATGATGATGTGACAAAAGATAATATAAGAAGAAAACATGTCAATAAAAAGTCAGAAAAACTGAGAATAATATTTTATTACAAACAGTGATTCTTATATGGTTCTTCGAGAAAAAAGAATATCCAGTCTGTGAATATACAGTTAACTAACAAGAAAATGGATGGAAAGAAGTATAGTGGCCAAACGAAGTCCAGAAGTGAATCTGATTTTTCTTGGATTTCCACAAGATAGAATTGATCCTTCAAATGCAGTTGAAGATGTTCAAGATGGAAAATCAAAGAGAGGAAACACAGCTAACAAAGCAGGTACTTCAGTTGGTAAGCAGACTACTTCATCCAAAGCGAGGAAAATTTTAGAATGTTGAAGATATATTTCTTATTGATTGTTCAATTTAGAAATAACTCCTTGACTATTATTATTGTAGTTGTTATGATGATGTGACAAAAGAAAATATAAAAAGAAAACATGTCAATAAAAAGTCAGAAAAACTGAGAATAATATTTTATTACAAACAGTGATACTTATACTCGTACTACTTTAAAACATGAGGTTCTTGATATAAAACCGCTACAGGGTGTCACCTAAAACTATGAAAAATGTCAGAATTTTCAAAAGGATACCAAATGAACAAAAACTTTTTTTTCAACTTCGACAGCAGAGGCATGAAGATGATCTCATTACCTAGGGACATTTTTCAAATTGTCTTCTTATCTCTTTTATTTACAGTTATCTCGAAAAATTTACTTTCTGGTTTCGCAGTCATAACTTTTTTTCTTGTCAACCCGTTTTTGAAATCTCATTTTGAAGCTGGAACTTCAGATGGCTCACTTCTAATGGAAGCACCCCTGTATATTTCGTAATTGTTTAGTTAGGATTCTGAAACTTACAGGAGCGGGAGATATACTGAAAATAAACACTATGACCAAGTGGAGTCATCTCCAGTGATATACACTGCTCGCCAAAAGCCATGGAACCACCCAAATTTCCGGAAAATGTTATTAGGAGCCAAGATAGGTTGAAAATCACTTCGGATTCGAAATCAAGACGTCCAGTTCACTGCCTTTACATATTTTTCCCGGAAAATTTTCACTTCAGAAAAATTTAATTTTGTCCCACTTCTCATAAAAGCATCCCCGTATCTCAAGGAATTATTGAGGTAGGGTTCTGAAATTTGTAGGAGGAAGCAAAAGGGACGTCCTGATTTTTGTGGGTGGTTCCTTGGCTGTTAGCGAGCAGTGTATATCACTGGAGACGACTCCACTTGGTCATAGTGTGTATTTTCAGTATATCTTGCATATTTCAGAATCCTAACTCAACAATTACGAAAGATATAGGGGTGCTTCCATTAGAAGTTAGATATACTGTATAATGTTCATCTTGAGTGAATTCTGATCACCATATCTCTTCATCTGAAACTTAAGCTTCAAAATGAGCCTGAGATTTCAAAAAATCGACGAGTGAAAAAGTTGTGATGATTGCGAAACCAAAAAGTTAATTTTTTGAGATCACTCTGTAAATGGAAGAGATAAGGAGACAATTCGAGAACTGTCCCAAGATAATGAGATCATCTACATGCCTCTACTGACAATGTTTAAAAAAAAAAAAGGTTTTGTTTTCTCCATTTGGGGTACTTACTTTTGAAATTTCCGAAATTTTGCACAGTTTCATGTAACAGTCTGTAGCGATTTCATGTGAAGAACCTTATGTTTTAAAGAATTACGAGATTATAGCTGAAGGATTGGCCTAGCGAACAGTGTGATCCGAATTCGAATCGTTCAAAGAAAAAAAAAGTTATTCATAATTCAACAGAGGCAAAATGTTGGTGACGGAATTAGTGTTGCGTAGTTTATTGAGCAAACACTACCACTACAATTCGTCTATTTACAAACTCATACTCGCTCTCTGAATATTGACCTAACCTGATCGCGTTATAGATATCTGACATAAATAATTCTAGCATGTTCAGATAATATCGCGTTCATTCGAGAAATCTTCATAATTCAACCTCCTAACAACACTTACAAATAGATAGGATATTCAGCGTGATCAAATAAAAAGTAAAAATAGCCAGTTAACGTGAGCATTCCAGTGAAATACTCTAATTCAGCGGTCAAGGCCTTCCGCGACCTTAGGCCGTGAACATGTTGGAGCAGTGATAGATGACAAAAGCTACGATTCTGGCGAAGTCACGAAAAAACAAGCAAGAATAACCACATGTGTTTGTGCTAGTTGAAAGGTGAACTATAGTACAATATAGACCCTTGCCGAACACAGTAGTTTCAGTTAGCACTTTTCGTGTCCTAAAAATCACAGTGCGCATTTCCACTCGTGACTAGAATGCGCAGTAGCTCAGCTAGCACGGCAGGTGTTTTGTTTACACTTCTTTGATTTATGTGCCTCTGTGATTCATTCTATTATGTTGGTGGCTCTTTTATTGAACAATGTTTGCAGCAACATACTTGTGATATATGTGAAGCTTGTGCAAAGTCAGAAACAGAACTGGTTGATGGAGTTTTAGAGCATATGAAAATTCTGCTGAAGATACATATGGAAATTTGAAAATCCCTCATTAGGATTTCTTTTCATACCTAGGATTTTATAATTTTTCAGTCCAGCCTAATGTTGCTATCAGATTGAAGGAAGAAATAACAAGTACAGTTCTGCTGATACATCCTTGTGAAAATTTTCCACTTGATTGTCTCAACAGTTTGTTTAATCGAACAAGGATTTTTTATACTCTGTTCAATTGCAAGCTAGCGAAGTGAACAACTTGGAACCATACTAGTATCGAAGATCCATCATGGATGCATCGAAGTAAGATAATTTCGTAGCTCTAATCGTCGCTTTCATCATTGTTCTTGTCGGACAGATACCAGTAGAGTCCCGTTTACCTGATTTAATCCCCTTCTCAAAAATGGCATACTACGATGTAAGCGTTCGAGTGATTTTTTAAAAGTTTTCAATACGTAAAAATTGCCGAGTACGCGCACCATCTACCAATTTCCATCATTGTTTGTTGAAACATTGAATGTATCGCTTGTGTTAAGGCCATCAACGCTAATATAGCTGAACTTTGAAACTTGAAAAACATATCAACTCCGTTATTCTACATTACGTCTAATCTGTGTGGCCTACTAGCTAAGGTGAAAACGAGCGAGATTTGACAAAGAGGAGCGAGAGAGTGAACTAGTGACAAAACGAGCGAGATCTCGCTCAATCTAGCGAGCTGTGGCAACGCTGCAAGGGACTCTATCTTATCTAACTAATACCATCCAGTGACTCTACTCGTACCCAGTATTTCAGGTAATAAACAAGACTCTACTCGTATCATCCGTTCTTGTCGCTGCTCCAACATGTGTACGCCCTAATCGAGATGCTGCGTCTTGCGCAGCAGCTGTCGCGCAACGAACGATCCGCAGCACCACGTGGACGCCCGTCTGGCGTGCGGCCTGTAGTGCTGCGGATTCACAGGCCGCGCCACCACCGCCGATGAACGATCCAGGTCGGAGCTGGAGCTGCGCGATCGTGCCAACACTGCCAAACGGTCATGCATGCGTACGTTACCGCCGGTCAAGAGATCCACTGTCGCACGTTACCATGGCGACCAGTCGAGTGGGCGGAGATATAGAGATGCGCGAAGTAGGGGAGAAGAGGAGAGAGACGGAGATGAAATAAGAGAGAAAGAGTTAACGAGGACGGGGAGGGGAGAATCGACGAGAGCTGTGAACGGATGACGGGGTTATTTGGCGATGGGCAGGCACGCAGAAGACATTGACAGTCATTTTTGGGGCAGTATCTAGTATTATATGCGTCACTGCTGGATATTGGATGTCCGTTCAATCAATTCAAAGTATATCGATAAAAAAATCCTTCTTAGCTTCACAAGGACCTAATGATGTAGGTTTAACGAGTATGCCATCTTTGATAAATCATGTTTTTTAGAGGGTGAAAGAGTGAAGACACCCTCTTCATCTCATGCTCAGAAATAATAAAATGTAATTTATTGATACAATGTCTCATTTCAATTTAATCAACGAATCATTTGTTATTTATTGCAGTATCTACATATATATGTCGGCGTCAAACAGTGAAATCCGTCATTCTCTGGAATGCCTAGTCATTTTACGTATTGCCGGCAAAAAGCGTTACCATAATGTAACGGGTGTTCACAAACTGTAGATATTTCAGTCGAATTTCAAAAAATTCATACACTTGCCAGTAGTTACTATCATTAAAGAAATACGTTGTCGAACTGTCGAAGTTATAACCTCTAACCTCTAACCATAACAGTGGCATATTAAATCATTTCGGAATTATTGAGTGATTTTTTTTTCAATACTACATCACAACTAAAATCTTGAAGGCCTATACAGGGTGACTCAAAAATGTTACCAAGCTTTCTGGGGGGGACAGTACATTGAAAAATGAATATAGTTTGATGAATGAACTAATGGCCCAAAGTGTATATTAAGGAAGATATCTCTCTCCAAGTTGATAAAATTGAAATAATTCTCCCTATAACTTCTAAACGGTAGAACCAACCAGATTGAATTCCGTGCTGCTGATAAAATACATTTTTGATATTTTTACAGAGGGTGTTTTCAGACGGTGGGTCATAATTTGGTGAAAAAATAGAAGCATTTAATAGAGCCAGAAAAATTACATGAAAACGGTACTCCTATCAGAATACAAAAATTGTAACCTTTCTCGAGATATTTCAGTTTTTATTTGTGACATAATATCAGCAGGTAAATTCATCAGTAATATGTCAGGAGGCCTCGAACTTCTTGTCCGGACACCATCTTTATATTTCGTTTTGAAACATTCTTTTTCACGCAATCTTTGAACAATCCTCAAAATTATTCTAGAATTTGGAACGCGTCGAGCGGGAAACATCATCTCGGCATAACGAATAACCTGCAATTTTTAAAATCTCAGTTGATAATCGCAGTAATAATATTACTAAGCAGAAAAACTGACCAAGAAAATCAATAATAACTATGTTCATGTCATAAACGTCAGAATTAAGAACAAAATTGATCATCATGTCCTCCTAAAATATTGTAACTGATGAATCAATCTACGCACATCATATGTCACAACAAAAACGCAAATATCTCAAAACGATCACAATATTGGTATTTTGATAAGATTACTGTTTCTATGTAATTTTTTTCGCTCTATCAAAAGCTCCTATTTTGTCACCAAAAAGAATACGTGAAAAAAGTTGTCTTAAAAAATCATGACCCACCCTCTGGAATCGCCCTTCATAAAAATATCAGAAATACCTATATAAGTGTACCATAAAAGTTCAGAAGTTATGCGAAAAATTATTTTTTCTGTGACGGAAAAAAAGTTTGGCATTTCATCTCTGTTGGAAGGTTATAAAATGTCACTTTTCATAAATTACTTTTTTCCCATGGGAAAAAAGTGAGTACTTTTTTCCCGGATATCAATCACATATATTTACACTGTTGATGGCTCTTGTTGTGCTATAGTTCCGAAAAATGAGTCAATAATACCGTCTCCGAGAAAGAACTGCAAGTTTTTTTATCTTCCATTCGATTTCGCGGTTACGTATATTACTAAACAACCACTAAATTCGCAATTTTTTTAATTGACAGAAGTGACATCAGATATTTGATTACTTCAAAATAATGATAAAGATGCCTACAACGCAGGTGTCTCCACTGTTAAAAAACTTAAAATTTCACGTCGATAATTTTCTAATTTCAAAATAATGTAATATCTTCTCAATATTGATTCTTCCTTTCTTCTGTCACAGAAAAAAATAGTGTATTATACACGGGAAAAATATTAGATTTTAGCTCACGGTTTTTTGTCTCCCCCCGCTACGCGTCGGGAGACAACACAACCTGGAGCTAAAATCTACTACTTTTTTTCCCTTATATAATAAATAACTATTGAATTTCATTAACTTTGGAAAAATATATCTCCCTTAATGTACATTTTGGGATAGTAGTTTATTCATCAATATACTTATATTCCAATGAACAATCACCTCCAGAAAGCTCGGTACACTTTTTTGATTCACCCTGTATATGATATTCCAACCATCATCCGTTCACAGCTCGCCCCATAACCATTCACTACGTCACTTCTACCAATGAGATGGTCATAAGGATGGTGCTTGTCTTCAGCAATTCAGAATACGAAGAAAAGAAAATAAATCACTAGATCATGTCTTCTTTGACTTAAAAGAGAACAGAAAACTATTTTACAATCCCTGTTGGTACATATTGCATTTTGATAAGCTGTGAAAACCTGCATTCCAATTTGATGAAATTTCATAGACATTTAATTTAATGATGATTTATTAACAAGAAATATATAATGCCAAATCACTTCAATAGATGCTGACATGTTGCATTTGAAATTCATTTCTTAAAAAATATAAATATACAACCGAAAAAATTCATGGGGTGAATGCTAGAATGTCATAAGGAAACACCCCCTTTTTCGGTGTTATTTAGATACACCCTGTATACAGAGTGGCCCTTTGAGAACAAAAGAAATAGACTATGTAGGTCGCCAGAACCGGATTATGAGAAAACACTGTCGAACATGTCAACTTTATTTTCGAGGGGGGCATCGTTCTATAATATTTTCAGCGCTGCGACGTTGCCGCTTCTAACGAAAAGTAGTAACAACTTTGTTATTGCAAATGGAACACCTTGTATTTCATTGCATTTTTTCATTCTCCCTGAAGAGTTGATTTCATCTATATAATATCACACTTGGGGTCTATCGGAAATGATTACAGATATACCCTATATATTTTATATCTTTCTATACCAAAATCGAGATTTTTCAACTTTAGGATTTTTTTAGGTCGACACTAGTCATTATTGGTCAGAACGGCTTTCATGTCACTATCCCATCTTTCGATTTACTATCTATTGACATTTAATTGAAACTGTAATGTCTTTGAAACCAGTAAAGAATCTATCTCTATCTATCTTAATTGAAACAGATACAGTGGTGATCAGAATTGTGAATCTTGTACCACCCTGTATTTGTTTCAAATAAATGTCAGTAGATAGTAAATCCAAAGTTAAGATAGGGACATGTTAGCCGTTTTGACCAGTGATGAGTTGTTTCAACACTCCTCTTCAAGGAGAATCTGAAAATGCAATGAAACACAGGGTTTTCCAATTGATATAACAAAGTTGTTGCTACTCTTCGATAGAAGCGGCAACGCCGCAGGGCTGAAAATATTTTAGTATGCTAATCACAGAACACTATCTACCTGTTGTGCAGCATATTCCAGTTTTCCATAATATTAAGTAATTTTCATTGAAAAAAAAAATCGTTCAGAGCTTATACTTCACACCATCCTTATAAACAATTCTCAAACTCCCTAATCACGGTTTACAGAGAACTGTTGCCTCATTCTCTGAAATGTAGCAGTATTTTGTACTAGTTGAATGTCCGATAAATGAATTTGTGTTTCTATACATTTTATTTCGCATTGAGAGTAGAAGAAAATCACCTAATAATATGGGAATTGTTCCTGATTCAAGAAAGCATCAAGAAGTGATTTCACCAATCGGCACCTAATAGAACTTGTATAGTTCATTTGGCTACATACATTGTTATTTCACAGTGAAAAATTCAGTGATTACATAATGGTGTAGATGCACGGTATTGATGAAAAAGAAGTTTAGCCAGAATTGGTAGAAAAAATATGTGTTCCCCTGGTTTGTAGGTATCTTAGACAGGATAGTTTCTGGATGATCTCCTATTAGGCTACCCTACATCTTTCGTTATATCATATTAGCAAGCATATCATAAATAAGTATGAGCTTTTCTAACCAAATTAATGAGTTGATCTTATTGTAGCAATCACAGGTAGGGATGTCCTTTCTACTGAATACCTTCTTCGATATCTTACTTGTGACTTCGTCTTTATAATTATCATAAGATCAAATTTCTTCCTTATAACGTATTACCGGATAGATATCAAGTTAAAACATGACATGAACAATCCTATGAAAGTATGAAAAACGTCATAACATCAATTGTTGTAAAATGGACGTAATCATCCTGTATTATGAAAGAGGCGACGAAAAGAAGAGATGTCAGTTGATGTCAGTAGTTAATTTCATGAATTGTCATTTTTTGTACATGAACTATATTTTAGAATGATATTTTCTAAAGAGCCTTTCCATCTTGACAAAAAACGTAAAACAACAGGAAATAACGATATCTGAAGATATTTCCTACAATTGAGAAGTGGTCCTTATTGGTATCAGAAAATTTTTGGCAGAGTATTGGTGTTGGCTAGATTTCCGAGTCTATCTTGATTTCAGTGGAGAAACTCTAGGAAAACCTCCTATGGATTGGCTTGTGAGTCTGGAGAGTGCAGCTGTACTTCACAGCTGGCCTCAAGAAAACAGCGAAAATCCATATGGTCAGTACGGCTAGGAAATGGTTCACTGAGAGAGCTGCTCAAATCAAAACATTTGAAGATTTCAAAGCGAGTTGGGTAGAGATGAAATGTGGGAAAAAATTAAGAAGCGAATTCAAGGGAAAACAGAATCAATTGATTCCTATTTTCAAGATACGGTTACGCTTTGCAAGAGTTTACGATTTGATTTTGATGAAATGAAGAAGCAGGTAATTTTAGGACTGCAAAACAAGAGTATAGTTCCTGGTTTGTTTGCTGAGGATACTACGGATACTAATCAATTACTGCATGAGATTGTGAGATTCGAGAAAATAAACAACAAAGCTAATTTTTATACCCACAACAAATCTCAACCTCATAGTTTTTGGAATAAGAATTCTTCAGGTGAAACTGATAATGTTGAGGATTCTACAGAAATAACTGTTGTAAAATGGACGTAATCATCCTGTATTATGAAAGAGGCGGCGAAGAGAAGATTTGTCAGTTGATGTCAGTAGTTAATTTCATGAATTGTAATTTTTTGTACATGAACTTTATTTTTGAATAAAATTTTCTAAAAAGCCTTTCCATCTTGACAAAGAACCTAAAACAACAGGGAATAACGATATCTGAAGATATTTCCTACATAATAAACTCTCAGGATGCGACAACAGTTCTTTCCACAATAAACCGTGACCACAACCCACCGTCACCCAAACCCAACCGACCTACCTGAGTTAACAGCGCCTCTCGCCTTCATCGCCGAACAATACACCTCGATGACGTCCAGAATGAGCCCGTCCTCCTTGTAACTGGTCGGCTGCCGGCCACCCCTAGAGTACGGTCCGTTGGGCGTGGCGCCGAGCGCGAAACAAGGACGCAGCGGAGGCGTGGGCCGCAGCCGGACGGACGACCAACCGGCGCGCGTCGACGAGGGGGCGGGGCAGCCGGACGACCAATCGGCGCGCGTCGAAGAGGGGGCGGGGCGGGAGTGGGGAGAGGGCGTGGTCGAGCGCGGGGCCGCTTGATGGCGGTTAGGGGGCGGGCTGGTGAGCGGCGCGGTCGGGCCTCTTGCTACCAGCGGAGACATCTGCGGGGAGAATTTAGTGATAATAATATATACAATTGCGTATATTGTTTACAGCAATGAATTCAAGTAAGAGTTGAGAGAAAAAGAATTAGAGAAAGACAAAAAAATAATGATAAATATGTGCAATACAAAATAATGATTAAAATGTTTTCTTTATACCTATCATATCTACATATTTGTGACCAGTATTAGTCAAGTAGACAAAAATTTAACTGGCCGGTAAATTGTCACTGTTGAAAAATCGAGTCACCATGGTAATGACGTAAGTAAATCAGCTATACCAGTTCTAGACCATTTCGACCACTTTTCCCATGTTAATCTCCATAAGAAATTTTAAGGTTCATTCTGCAATTTTTGGTCCCCATCAAGGTCATCCATCTCTAACAAGTGAGAACGGCGATTCTGGTGCTGCAGACCTCGTTGAAAGCAAACGCTCTCAAATCGGATTGCTGAAAGGGCCCCAAGGAAAGTGTATCTGCTTGAATTTTACGAAAACTAATTTTTGAAGGACCCTAAGGGAAATGTATCTGCTTGAACGGCTACAAGGGCCATATAGTAAATATTATGCCAACTATAGGTTGTTGTATATCAAATTTCACGAAAATTAATTTTCGTAAAATTCAAGCAGATAGGTACATTTCCTTTGGGGCCCTTCAAAAATTAGTTTTCGTAAAATTCAAGCAGATACCTTTCCTTTGATATACAACAACCTATAGTTGGCATAATGTACACTATATGGCCCTTGGGGGCCCTTCAAAAATTAATTTTCGTAAAACTCAAGCAGATACATTTCCCTTAGGGCCCTTCAATCCGATTTGAGAGCGTTTGCTTTCAACGAGGTCTGCAGCACCAGAATCGCCGTTCTCACTTGTCAGAGATGGATGACCTTGAAGGGGACCAAAAATTGCAGAATGAACCTTAAAATTTCTTATGGAGATGGAAAAGTGGTCGAAATGGTCTAGAACTGGTATAGCTGATTTACTGACATAGTTTGACGTTAACTCAATCAAATTTTCAAAATGTCAGTCACGTCGAGAAGATATGGAAATATCGAAAATGAGTCGATTCCAATTCTATGAAAAACAAGCATATCACAAGTAATAATGAGTGTATGTACAGTGTGTCCAGTTTTTGATGCTTTTGCGTGATATCTCAGTTATCTTTGGAGATAGAACCTGGCGGTTTTCGCGATACTGTGCCACTTTTTTGTGAAACACAAGATCAGATTTCAATTTGAAATTTTTGCTAAGGAACTTGGTAGATATAGAGGGGGCCCAAAAAGTATAAATTTTCAAAATCGGCCTGTATTTCAAAAACGAAAACAGTTATGCAAAATCTGATTACGCCATCTTGAGTTTTCCAAAAAAGTGGCACAGAACCGCAAAAACCGTAAGGTTCTATCTCTAAAGATAACTGAGATATCACGCAAGTGCATCGAAAACTGGACACACTGTACAACATGTATTCTGTTTTTCACCAGACTACTTTGTTGAAGAGTGGACTTCAAAGTGTATACGCAGGAAACTTACGATTTCTATGTTTCAAAGAAGACTTCGGCAGAATATTGAATTTATATTTTTGAAATGGCAATGTTGTCAATGGCAATGGCTATCAAAATATGTGAAAACATATACATAGGTAGTCAGTTCATTTGAAAACAAAATTTTCAATAATTATTATTGAAACTATCTAGTTCAAAAATAGGACTTTCCTTTGAAAAATGGCCGGGCTATTTCTGAGTAGTTCGACATTAAAGATTTTGATAGATTTATATAAGTAACAATGTGCATTTGATGGTGTCATGATTGAAGGGAGTGTAATATATATTGCACATTCTTCTACTACAAGAAGCGTTAGAAACAAACAACATATTAGTAGTCACTCTTCATTCTTCATTCTTGAATACAAACTTGAATAGATGAAATTGATTTCTGTTTAGACCCAGAATACTGATAAATTGATCTATATCCCTAAAATTGCTGGAAAACTTAAGAAATCATTTTTTTAATCAATCCTTTGAAACAGTAATGAATACAGGAAAACAATGTTGAATAGACTGGGTTTATGACTTTAACTGTTGATTTGAGAGTAGTCTCAGAAAAACGTTCAAATCCTAGGTCGAAATCGTGAATACAGATGGAGAGATAACAAATTGACTTTGTATATGAAACAAATAAATCAATGATGCAATATCAAAACTTGTATATTTCCCATATTACATACCAGATATTCATCAAAAATATGAGCTCTCTCTAAAGTTCAAAATATAGTAAATCACCTTGTACAGATAACAAAATAGTACATATCTGACGCATGTTTCCAATAGGAAATCAGCCGGCCATAAGAGTCGCATGTGCCATAAGTACCCTATCGCTGATCGCGGTCACCATATCTTTTCACCAACCCTAGGTCAATTGAAAGTTATATTTTTCAAAGACGTTGATGGGTAAGTCATTGAGAATTTTCAATGTGAGGATTTTGGGAGAACAGCAATAATTTCAGTACTGAAAATGTATGATACTTCTTCTAATGACTAAATGAATAATATATTCAAAGCCGATGAAACACAGTACATAAATACGGACATACACATATTAAAACGAAGTATGACAGGTGATTGCGATGGCGGTTAATAAATGTACAGGCAAGGGCCAAAGACACACAAGCACATTGTTAGGAAACTTAGTGAAAGCTCGAAAAGAGAAAAACAAAATCACAAGGAACAAAACCAATACACTGCAACCAACACTTGCCCTTGCCTGTAGCGGGTGATCTAGTTTCCATATAAATCCCTTTGACCACACTAGCAGGGATTTTTGCTTTCAACCACCAATGCGCGTACAGTCCAGACCTATACACAGCTCGATCCTCCTCCGTCCCCCCTTCTTCCTCATCTTCGATCGTTTCGTCCAGCAAACACCCAGCCGACTGCGATTTCAGAGGCCCCCTATCGCTTAACCTCACTTTGGAATGCAGTCTGGGCATCAGATCGATGCTAGAAGTGACAGACGGCCGCAGACTGTCCTGAGATCCCGTCAAAACGTTCTCAGGCACGAAATCTTGCCCGGAAGTTCGCGGAGTCGATCCGAACGGAGAAGTGCATGGACACTCCGATTCGAAGTCCCTAGCCTCGATTTCGCTCAAGGAGATACCATCGAGCTTATCGCCATAGTTGTGGAACCGGTTGGCCAAATCCATGCTAGCTCTCAGACGAGCAGGTGAGTCATTGTCGTTCATGTTCGCAGAATCTGGAGAGTTCAGGGTGTAGCTGCCGGCCATTCCGGAATCCGAGGACCTAGGACTGTGACAATGTTCCATGCAGCACTGACAGAACGACGGGTTGGACATTTTGATGTATTGAGAACTGACGCACTTCTTCAGTTCTCTAGGATTAATCTGGAGACTGCTCCTCCTCCTAGGTTTATCTGAATTAATACTGTGTTTCCGGAATCCTACATGTTCCAAGTTGAGACTCACGCTCTGCGAGGCTAATTTGACGTCGTTTTTGGCAAACATTGTGGGTGGTTCGATGACTATATCGGAAGATGACTCGGCAGAGTCTGGTCTAGCAAATTCGCCGTACAGTAGCTCTCCTAGCACCTTATCAGGAAGAGGTAACGTGTTCACGGGAAGCTCCAGAGTACTAGAATGCGTTGTGGTACTGCTATTAGACTTGCTGACTGAAATCCTGTTCACCTCTTCTAGCTGTTTTTTACATGCTATGTTGTTGTCACTACTTGACCAGGTAGGTATGTAGATAGTCGTCAAACTACTCTGATTGAATTTATTCCCGACCAATTTCGTTGGACAGCTTTGTCTAGTAGTTGGGACGTAAGTGTTAGGTACAGGATGATTCAACTCCAAGCTGCCTTTGAGGTTGGGTAAGTTTTCGCAAGCCATATAAGCCTTCGGCTCTGGGAAAAAAGAACTAGCTTCTGATTCTTCAGAGTATTGTTTCGTCAACTGTATGTTAGCCGTTGAAACTAACACACTTGGAAGTTTGGATGGTTCTTTCGAAGGTTTCATTGACGGTGAAGTCAGCGCATGATCTATGAAACTTTCGTATTTGGTTTCTTTACTTTCAGACGCCGTTTGTGGATTATAATACCTTATATAACCAAACGGATTACTTGAACTACTCGAGGTCAAAGATTCAGAATCTTTTCTACTCTTAGACTGGAAATCACTATCACTTGAATCAGACTCCGAACTATCACTGTCCGAATCACTATCACAATTAATAATACTATCCCTACAGTGGATATCTTTAGTAACAATACTAATCTCAGTCTTGTGGTGGCGTATCCTCACTAAGCTCAAGTTCATTTTGTTCAGATATTCGGAATAGAGTAGCTGCTTGAGGAGTTTTCTAGTTATCACTTTTTGCCTGATGAGTTTCTGGAAATACTTTGTTAGAGCTGCGAAGGGGGCCGCAGAAGGGTAGTGATCTGGAGGGTAAGTTGGTCGATAGAGCAGGTCTGTCTTAAAGCTCAGGACGGACGTTCTATTACAGTATCCTCTGTGATTCATTCGAGAAGGCTGTAGGAAACAGTAAAAGGTGTTCAGTCAAGATGGCCAGATCGTACGACGGTTGCGGTTGACTTAGAAAGCTGAATTTTTCGATCAATTAGCACTGATTGAAATGAATGCGTGAATCACAATCTTAGGGACATTAGCTAACAGAGAATATGTCCTAAAAATAATTTACAATGACTCAACAGCGGCAACTAAAGAAGCTACTGCCACTCAAGGTTCTTGATGACTATGATGACAGATAAAAAAATGTAATATTCGAAGTAGAAATATATTTTTTCTGACATTTATAGGCTTTTAGTGACTACAGAAAAAAAGTAGTTATAGATAATAGACGAATTAGAGCACAAACATCATATGGATGGAAAATAATATAAACTGCAAATATTGAATGTATAATAAGGATGCCATGATCGAAAACATGTTAAATTTTGAGAAATCAATTTTCTATCGCACATGGTCGCGAAAACGAGATGAGACTCGAGACAATACACGAACAAGACGAGACTTTTATTGGTCTCGTCTCGAGTCTTGCCCGAGTATGGTCTTTGTGTGTTTAGTTCACCGACGTATATCTGAAAGGGGGTGATAGGTAAGAACATTTTTGCACATATTCAACTATACAGGGTTATTCAACACGAAGCATAGTGGGTGATTGTGGCTAAAGCATTTGATTTTTTGAAAACAATTTTTATTCGGATGAATAGGGATCTATTGTCGTTACATTTTGAAAATATTGTCAAGTTGCTATTTTTCAAATGTAAAACCCTGTATATTATTGCATTTTTATATTCTTCCTGAAGAGCTGATTTCGTCGTCACTTGGGGTCTACCAGGAATGATTACAGAGATATAGGGTGTTCTTTAGGATTTTTTTGTGTCGAAAATATTCATTATCGGTTGTATAATCTTCACTATCACGTACTGTATAATCTTCACTATCACGTATTGTATAGAATAAAACACCAGTAACTCTTTATAGCTCGGCTATCGTATATTGACTGACTCACATTTCTGTCTCCACACATCATATCGCTATGTTACATAAACATCCGAATCATAGCCTGAATCATCTATATACTACATCGGTCGAAACGGCTTAGATGTTCCAATATTAACTTCCTATCTTTGATTTACTATCTACTGACATATAATTGGAACAAATACAATGTGGTTCAAGATTCAGAATTCTGATCACCCTGTATCTGTTACAATCAAATGTCAGTAGATAGTGAATCAAACGTCAAGATAGGGACATGAAAGCCGTTTTGACGGATGATGGAAAGTTTCGATACAAAAAAATCCTAAAGTTGTAAAATCTCGATTTTGAACAACCTACTCTGTAATCATTCCCGCTAGACCTTCGAGTGTGATACATCGATGGATACATCAAGGAGAATCTGAAGATACAAAGAATTATCAAAGCTGCTACTACTTACTGGTATACGCGGCAACGCTGGATTGCTGAAAATATTTTAGATCGACAGACCAAGAGCAACTACTACCATATACCGTGGCCCACCCTGTATATCTATTTCACAATTCATCTCGCAATACGTGAACTTGAATGATCCATGAAAAGTTCGGCTTGTCAGTTGTTTATTATATCTAGGCAACTGAATAAAACTTGACCTGTGACCTGGCTCAATACTCTTCGCTATTTTTAATTGACGTTCAATTATTTCAAAGCCAGAAATTAACCTTATGCTAGCGCAGTTAGCTGTAACGTACGTATGTTTGCCTATGTCGCCAGTCAACAAGTAGACTTTTGGATCCATTGAACTCAATGTAAATAACTGGAAGGAATACTGCCGTCTTCTCGAATAGCACAGAGTGTGTCAGGGGCAGCTGCAACAAAGATAGCTTGCGTTACGTTAACCTGTCTCTTTCACACTAGTGATGGCCGATTGATGCCTAAATTACCTTTTATCCAACGGTTGGAGTACTTGAGATTTTTTTATCTAAACAGGCAAAAAAGTGAGAACAGAACTCCATTGTTTTTTGTTATGTGAAATATCGCTAAATTTGGCGTGTTTTGTTTCTTCAAAAGGACTGAAGTTGTTGGTGTGGATTGATTGTTGTTGAAAAGGTTTGTGATTTCGAATTAATAAACGATGGTTATTTATATTGTGTTGCCTTTGGATGCAAAACAAGCAAGACAAACAGAAATTGTCCTTCATGGGTGAGTTGAAAATTGTTCAGATTCTTAAAAAAACTATAGTAATTTATTTTTAGGATGTATCTGAGGGAAGTGTGTATGAATGTTCATAGCTTGGGTTCTAAGGACGATGTTTTTCATATGGACATTGATTAGCCTACAAGTTTCAAAGTTTATTGATAATGAAACCCAAACTGATCCATTCGAGAAGGTCTATTCTATTGCAAAGAAAAGTGGAAACACTGAAACAAAAAGTAAGAAGAGGAGGTTCTCCTTCTCCAGAAAAGAAAAAATGAAGATGTGAATTCTGGGCGACGTTGATATTTATCTTCAATGAAACAATTCGTCCAAACATTGTACTTTTATTTACCTCTTATTCACCTCTCATTCCCCTTCTGATAGTGAAATATTAATGGAAAAATAGGTACCCTTTCAAGGATCAGTATTTTTTGTTAACAAATGCTTAGGAAATGGAAATATACTGGGTACAGCATCTGGTTTCAATAACCTAGCAGTAGCTGGTATGTATAAATAAATAATCAGTTGGCAGGAAATGCTCTCCACAAAGCTTGCTGGTTTCAGTACCAAATTGGCGAATCCAACAGCACCATCAAACACGAGGGAATCAAAACAAACCTCTGTTATAGATAAAGGTTCCGTATCACCAAAAATACTACCTCCGACACTAATTTCGCCTTCTACAACAGTTTCAAAAACGAAGGATTCATCTGATTGGAATCTAGTCAGCTACAAAAACAAAACCAGCAAAACAGATCATCGAAGTTCGAATGACAAAAACCATCATACATTCAACCTAGACGAAGTGAATCATGCCACAAAAAAGGCCATGGAATCGGTACAGTATAAAAACAATACAACGAACAGCCAATATTCTAGAAATATAAGGAAACCAGTTGTTGGAACTAACAAAAACGTATCGTCTGTAAAGACGATACCAAAACTAGGACATCTGCATGTATACAGGCTGTCCCCGGAGACTTCCCCTGATCAACTATCTTAAGTCCTTTCTGAAACAGCTCCAGAAATTCCATTTGTGTGTGAACAACTAAACAAAAATGAGAAAACATGTTCCATGATAGTGTCATTCCCAATAAATTTTGTGCGTGAAGTTTACAACCCTACAACCTGCCATGATAAATAGATACCAGTTCAGAAATAATTCAAATTTTATGAAATCAACCCCGCAGGAGAAGGAGACAATATAGGCTTTGAACTGAAGCAAGTTTGCTTGGATAACAAACACTCTGTTGTGGTTATTCATCTAAACATCCAAAGTATTTTTAACAAATCAAATGAACTGGATGTATTTTTGGAGAATTATAATCCTGATTTCCTATTACTTTCTGAACATTGGCAAACTTATGAAAATATCGATAACATTAAAATCAGCGGCTATCAAGCAGTTACTAGCTATTGTCGAATGAAAAAGTGTCATGGTGGAGTGGTAATATACTCCAGAACAGAACATATCATCGATTGCAAAGATAGTCCCTCAATTAAAAGCTGTTCTATTGAACAAATTATCGAATGCTCTGCAATTTCATTCGACAAAAATACGTGTATTGCTGTTATATATAGATCACCAAATAGTGACTTGGATTTATTTTTCATTCAGTTCTGCAAGATTCTTGGAATTCTAATTGACTCGTTCAAAAACATTCTGATTTGTGGAGACTTGAATATAAATTATTTAGAACAGAGTATGCCCAAGAAAATTCTCTGTGATATATTGGAATGTAATGATCTCGATTCCCTCGTCACTACTCCTACACGAATTGCATGTAGAGGTAATATCAAAAGCGTCACCGCGATCGATTATATAATAACGAACTCAAGAGATAACATAAAATTTGAAATTGTTGATCCATGTTTATCGGATCATATGGCACAGATTATTCAGTTCTCAATTCCTGCAGAAAAGCGCAATTCGAAAATTTCCTATAGCTTCAAAAGGAAATTTACTGACTTAAATATTAGTCAATTCGAATATACTATGTCAAATCTGATCCTGACGGATCTCAACCTTCCAACAATAAATGAATGTTTTGAATCATTTTGGGACCACTTCTCTTATGCATTCGAATCATCTTTTCCGAAGATTCCTGCTGGTACAAATATTCAGAAATCAACAATATCAAATACTTGGTACACCAACACACTTAAAATCGAGGCGAATCGGCTCAGGCAATTGAATGACCTGCGCAAAGAAGCTCCTACCTATAATGAAAATTATAAAATCGCTAAGAAAATATACAATGCCAATATAGTCAAAGCAAAAAAAAACTATTACTCAGAAATGATAAATTCATCATCTAACAAAAGTTCTACAATTTGGAGTATAGTGAATTCAAGACTCAATAAATCAAAACATCGCCAAAATATAGTGCTCAACTATGAACATGAAATAATCACAAACGAATTCGAAGTAGCAAATATTTTTGGGAACTTTTTTGTAACAATTGTAAACAAACAGCTACTCTCACACTTTGAAAATCAACTATCTGGTTCTTGTACAACTTCAAACCGATTGGTAAGCAATTCTTTCGCGTTCATACCTTGTACTGCTAATGAGATAGAGAATATTATCATACATTTGAAAAACAAAAAATCAACTGGTATCGATGAAGTGCCTGTATTCTTAATAAAGAAATGTAGCGCAGTCATCGCTCCAATACTTGCTCATATTTTGAATATTTCACTAGAAAAGGGCGAATTTCCATGTCGTCTCAAGTTGTCAGTTGTTTCTCCAATCTTCAAAAAAGGCGATCGACTTTCTATTTTGAACTATAGGCCTATAGCCTTATTGAGTATTTTATCAAAAATATTAGAAAAAGCAGTATCCAGAAAGATACACGAATTTCTCGAGAAATATAATATTCTAAGCCCGAACCAACATGGTTTCAGAGGAAAACATTCAACGGAAACAGCTATTACTGATTTTGTACAAATGGTTTATGAAAAAATGGAAAACGAGGAGTACACTGGCTTATTTTTTGACTTGTCACGTGCTTTTGATTGTCTGAATTATGAATTTATTTTATCGAAACTTTCAACGATAGGATTTCGTGGACCAATACTGAACTGGATAAAATCATTCTTAAATGGACGGAAGCTGATAGTCAAGGTGAATGACCAAACATCAGGAGAATTCCTAGTGGATACAGGAGTTCCACAAGGAAGTGTCTTGGGACCACTGATTTTTTTGTTGTTCATCAACGATCTTCCTGCCTACATAACTGATGGAACAGTATTTATGTACGCGGATGACACGTCGATAATTGTATCAAGTGTCGACAAAGCCGAATTGAACACAAAAATAAAAAATGTTTTAGATCAATTTAATAACTGGTGTCATAAAAATAGACTAATTATAAACTATTCCAAAACTGTTACATTGCAATTTCACAGACCATCTGTAGAACGACTTGACATTGAGAATTTCTACACAAACAAGTACTCGCTCACACCAAGCAACACTTGTAAGTTCCTGGGTACATTATTTGATGAAAATCTTAGATGGGACGAAAATATCAATTATATCTGTTCGAAACTGAATCGACAATATTTTGCTCTTAGGAACTTAATCAATTGCCTGAATGAAGAGGGAATCATGTCAGTGTACTATGCATTGGTATACTCCACGATTAACTATAACATCATCACGTACGGTCTCGCCACAAGTAGCAATAGAGTATTCATGGCACAAAAAAGAATTGTTCGCCTCATCTTCAAAATTAATCCTCGAGATTCTTGCAGGAATGTATTCATAGACAATAAAATATTGACGTACACCGGAATTTATTTATATAAATTACTAATCTATATTTATAAAAATAGAAACAACCTCAAGATGAATCGTGATTATCATGACTACCATACACGACGCAAAAACGAATTTAGACTCGAGCCTTTGTCCTTTGCTAGCTGTAAAAAGTCTCCAAAATACGCTGGTACATATTTTTTCAATTTTCTACCTCCTGAACTGAAAAATCAAGCGAACTTGTTTCAGTTCAAACGCAAACTGAAACTGTTTCTCATTGCTAATGTTTTTTATAATACACAAGAATATGTTTTATACTGTCAACGTGTATCCTTATGATTATAATGTATATTGAAAAATTTATTTCACTTTAATATTGTATTCATTTTTTTATTCATGTGTTTATATGTTCTTTTAGGATATACCAGAATGTTAATGTGTATAAATTTTTAAGTTTTTTGAATTGTACCTATATATAATTCAAATTTCGCATTCCCTTGACTTGTCAATCCAGTTCGTAATTGGTATTTTATGATCAATAAACTATCTATCTATCTATCTATCTATCTATCAGATGGAGTCCAACTCTTTTTAAGAACTGCCTTAATCCATAAATCAAGAATGTCTGAATGGGAAACTGCAACAAATAATATTACTTAATATGTTCATGGAAAAGTCAAGGAAGTATTTAACTTTGACAAATAATATAGGTATAGTTTTCGAACATATTCTGAGATTGGGAACATTGTACACCTAACTGATGATCATTTCAAGAACTATATTTTCCAAAAATCTGAACAATATTCAACTTACCCATGGAATGACAATTTCCTTTTGTCTTGCTCGTTCTTGCATCCAAAGGCGACACAATAAATCACCATTGTTTATCAAAACCTTCTCAACAATCAGTTTACAGTGTTTACACCAACAAATACAGTTCTTTTTATAAAACAAAACGCCAAATGAATAGATATTTCACATAAACAAAGACAATGAACTTATGTCTTCACTTTCTTGCCTGTTTAGATGTGAGAAAAAAATCTAAAGTACTTTAATTATTAGATAAAAGCAAACGTAAACACCAATCCACCATTAAACAACACGAGTAGGAAAGAGACAGGTTACCGTAAATCATGCTATCTTTGTTGCAGCTGCCCCTGACACACTTTGTGCTATTCGAGAGAACGGCCGTCTCCCTTCCAGTTGTATTGAGTTCATTGTCAAAAACGAGTATATTATTATTCACTCACATGCGGCGGCGGTTGAGGCACGAGCTGCGCCTGCGACGGCGCCACTTTTTGACTGGCAACTGCGCCGCTCCTCGGCGTCTGTCTGCCGATCAGCTCCACCCACCTGTCCGCTTCTTCTTTGCTCTGGCACACTGCGATCTTCTTGTCGATCATCGGCGCGCCGATCTCGAACGCGTTTTTGTACTGGTCGGTGTCCTCCAGCCTTGTGACTGATACGCCGGAGAGAAACAGTTTGCCCTGAAACACACGACTTCTATATTGACTAGTCCACAAAATGACTAGGTCACTTGTATGTGGCATATGATTCAATAAAGGTATAAAATTATTTTGTGATAACAATTATACATTTCTGATTTTTAGTTTTAATTCCAATCTCCAAATTCCATCTCGACTGCTCATTTCACACTAATGAAAATTTTTGAAATCTACAAGTTGGTGAATTGTTTGTCGAGATTTCTCTTTGATCCATTTTGTGATATTTTTTTTGAATATACTGAGCGAATTCGATGTTTTGATCTCATGTGGTAACTCGTTGAAAACTTTGGGTCCAAGATAATAATAGCACCTTTGACCTATCGTTTTGTTAGCTCTTGGAATAATGGATGATCCTTGTTTATACCTAGTACCGTAGAAGTGATCAATAGTCGGGAGAGTTGTTTTATTTTTATATTGATATAACAATAACGCTTTGCAGTATAATTGTCGAGGGTCAAGGATATTGCTCTCGCTATACAAATCATTTCCTGGATAATCGCGATCTTTCTTAAATATTGTTTTCAGTACCCATCGTTGGATTATTTCGAGACTTTTAATACATGTTTTGGATGCACCTCCCCATCCAATGATACCATAACTCAGATGTGTTTGTACAAGAGTATAGTACATTGTCTTCAGGTGTTTTACATCAAAAAATTGTTTGAAATATTTAAATTGATATAAGAGAGACCTTAACTTTTTCACTAGGAAATTTATTTGGTGATCCCATTTCAATTGTGCATCAATTAGGATTCCTAAATATTTTATGTGCTTCACTGATGTTATGCACTGAGTTTCATTTTCAGTGTTTATTAGGAGTTCTTCGAATGGTGGCATATTGGTAAGGAGATAACTAAATGGCATAAAATGAGTCTTATCAACATTGATAGTTAAGAGCTTACACCTGAAGAAATGTATAAATTTCACAAAATCTTCTTGGGCTGCCAGTTTCAGTGTCTCCCACGATGATCCTCTATAAAATATTGCAGTATCATCTGCAAAACTAACGATTTCACCAACAGTGTTGAGATTGAAGAGATCATTGAGATATATGGTGAACAGAATAGGTCCAAGAACGGTCCCTTGAGGAACCCCAAATGAAACCGTCCTTTCCACACTGAAGGAATCTTCTATATTAACACATTGAATTCTTTCTGTTAGATAACTTCTCATCATATCCTGAGCAGTTCCTCGAAATCCAATATTTTCCAAAGTTCTTAACAAGTCATCATGGCTCACCGTGTCAAAGGCCTTAGCCAAATCTACGAAAACGCAAAGAGCTGGTTCACCACTGTCTAAAGCCCTGTATATGTCTCCAACAAGATTGGCTATTGCATCCTGTGTTGATTTGCCTTCCCTAAAACCGTACTGTTTATCAGACAACAAGTTGTGTTTTTTGTGTGTATTATTATTTTATTTTCTACTTCTTTTTAGTTTCGCTATCTATAGAAGCGGTTTTAGTTTATTTCAAATTGTTTTTAGTTGGAATGAGAATTTTGAATAGAATCGGAACATGATTACAAAACTCGTCAATATTGGATCTACCATCTTGAATTCTTTAATTTTGACGAAGGAATCATAATTTTTTTATCCCGAAAACGACCACTTAAAAATTTTAAATAGAATCGTTATATAATTACAAAACTCGTCTAGTATATTGGTTCCACCGTCTTGAATTTCCAAATCCTGCTCTTTCCAAATTTTGACAAAAGATAACAATTCATCTTCATTAATATGAGATTATTTCTTAAATATATACTCCTTAGCTGAAAATAATTAATACACAATCAGGGTTTTTGCCTAATTACTTCTACTATACAGCTGATAGGTTTAGCATGGGAGCCGTCTGAACTTTTTGAACTACACCTTTTTCAATTGTAATTCAGAAAGTATAAAATGTAATTCAGAAAGTATAAGTTGTAATTCAGAATAGTTAAATGTAATTCAGAAAGTATAACTTGAAATTCAGATTAGTTAATTGTAATTCAGAAAGCGTAATATGTAATTCAGATTAGTGAAATGTAATTCAGAAAGTGTGACTTGTGATTCAGAATAGTGAAATGTAATTCAGAAAACGTCAATTGTAATTCAGAAAGCATAACTTGTTATTCAGAAAGTATCACTTAAGTAGGTAGGGCCTTACTATGGCCTGGGAAAATTTCGAGGACCGTGGGAAAATCTCTACCCTTTGATGTTGCCGCCTAACCGCAAGGTGCTAATTCCACGTTGGCGCGAGCTTATCGAAACCGCAACAATAACACTTTGATGACAATAACAAGATTGAATTTTCATATACAGGGCGTTTGAGTTGATTGAAAATTGAATAAAAAAATATATACAGAGTGTCCCACGGTTCACGGTCCCATGTTTTAGCATGGAAGGAGTGTTTGAGTTGAAAGAAATATATACAGGGTGTTTGAGTTGATGAAGATTGAAAAAAAAAATATATATACAGGGCGTTTGAGTTGATTGAAAATTGAATAAAAAAATATATACAGAGTGTCCCACGGTTCACGGTCCCATGTTTTAGCATGGAAGGAGTGTTTGAGTTGAAAGAAATATATACAGGGTGTTTGAGTTGATGAAGATTGAAAAAAAAAAAAAAAAAAAAAATATATATACAGGGCGTTTGAGTTGATTGAAAATTGAAAAAAAAAATATATACAGCTGTCCCACTGGTAGACCACCACACTTTAGGTGGGCTCTGCAAACAGATAGGTAATGCATGACAGATGACGTATAACAGATGTTCGTTGACAGATATCAAACTTTCGATGACACGTGTCTAGGCGACCTGCAAGCTAGCTACCTCGCAAGCCATCAGTTCAATAACAAAATTGAATATTTATATACAGGGTGTGAGAGTTGAATAAAAATTGAGAAAATTTATAGGGCAACTCATGAGTAGACCACCACACTTTAGGTGGGCTAAGCAAACAGATAGCTGACGTATGACGTATGGCAGATGACGTTTGATAGAAGGCCGTTGACAGGATCAATGACATGTGACCAGGCGACTTGCTAGCTGGCTACCCCGCTGATGATTTCATTCAATATGCAGTATGTTCAGATGGACCCGGCAAAACAGATAGGTAAAGTATGACGCACTAGCTGCTGATTCCGTTCAATATACAGGGTGTTTGAGTTATAGATATAGGGTGACTCGCGGGTAGACCACCCCACTTCTTGTCATGCTCAGAGACTGCTATAACACCCAAAGTACGACAGCGGATGACAACTAACATAACACATTCGATATATGACATACGAGGTATACCACATGACCTTCTGGTGCTCGCTGAACAATCGACAGCCGACAGATGGCTTATGACATTTGATAGGCGGTCGCTACGTATACCGTTGATTATATTCCCCGATGCTTGCCGAAAGCAAAACCAATTAGGCACCTGGCGGGTGGACTACCATGCATATAGATTAAGGGTGCTAGGAGGTTATGAACGCTAGAGGTTAGCCATGTTTAGGTGTGATACTTTGTTGAATAACCTGATTTTTATTATCAATTACTGAATACAGTTATTTCAATTAGACAGCTAACGCAAGCTCATGATTTCATTCAATATAAAAGACGGTTGAGTTGAATAGCAATGAACAATATACAAGGTTAGACCAACACAAATGGGCTCGACAAAGGGATAGCTTACGTATGACAGATGTTTTTTGACAGGGGACGTATGGAGTGGAAGTATTCAAAAACCAGGAAATATGTCGAACTACTCTCTACCCAAAACTCATGATGCGAGTGATCATCTCGAAGTCTACACACTTTCGCTTGAATCTTCTGGTAACGTAGATAATGTTTGCTGCAGTTTAGCTTGTCGCAGAAACGCTGCGGCAATGTAACGGGAACGTCAGGAAAATGTTATGTAATCGTTACAGATACGCTGCAAAAATGTCTCGGAAATGTCACAGGAACGTCACGGAAATGTCATCGAAGTGTCATGGAAGTGTCACGGAAGTGTCAAGGAAGTATCACGGAAGTGTCACGGAAGTGTCATGGAAGTGTCACGGAAATGTCACGGAAACGTCACGAAACACCAGAACGTTACAGAAACATCATGGAATGTTTACGGAAACGCCAATGAAATGTCAGACATATTTCATTATACCTACCGCTTCAGCTTCATTCAAGATAAAAACAATCTCGTTATCGTTCGAGGTGTTTCCGCGACAAATACTCTCTCTACAACTCTCAACTAAAAACATGTAAAACAGCTCTGGGTTACACCAAAGGATTGAAATCAAACACAGTGTTGAAAATGTTTATAATATATTCAATAAACTATACAAATAGCAGCACATTTCCCCACCACCCTCGAGGTAGTGCCTTGTGGCGCGTTGCTTCTTTTTATAGTGGGAAGCTCTCCGGTAGACCTACTTTGACCACTTGCGACGATAAATAATTAGGTTAACAATTTTTCTCAGACAGCACGAAGATTTATTCCTAAATTAATAGAAACACTTCATTAATTCGTCTAATGTATGTTTTCGCAGACAGCACGAAGATTAATTCCTAAATTAATAGAAACACTTCATTGATTCGTTCGTGCAGGGTATGCGCTGGCGCGCGCGCGCGCTTATCTTTGCAACGGATCCATCGAGGTAGAGTGAAGCGAGAGATGCATTCCAGAAATAAGAAACTTCGAGACGAAAATAAACTTCTCCCTCGGGAAAACAGGATATCGATAGTGAAGAAAGTACATAAATGTTGCAGATTTTACCAGTTTGTAATTCTTTATTTTTTGTTGTAGACGACACACTTGGACATGAATTATTTTCTTTTTAGTTAAAAAAAAAAAATCACAAGGAGTGAATACACAGATTCCTGAAGTCAATGAGGAGATATTCTTCTAACCTTGTAATCTCGTAATGAGGAGTGAATACACAGATTCCCAAAGTTAATTAGGAGGTATTCTTCTAACCTCTTCATTTCTCAACAATTTTATTACATTCCGATCTGATCA